AATTCAGCGGGTGAAAACAAAAAGGGAGGTGGGGAGGGGGTACACTAACGATACAATGGAAGAAGAATTTCTGCGGGGAAGTACATATGGTAGCGAACTAGCTTGACTTTTGCTAGGACAGGAAATACAATCTGAAAACAATTATGGTAGAGTAGATAGAGCTCATAGCCTTGGTTGGCAGCTGGTAAATGACAGATGTGCCAGTGAAAATCACACGAAACGTCCCTGTTCCATTTGAAAAAAGGAGTGAACAATTATTTCCGGCACAATGTAGAAATATAAGCAAGCAAAAAAAAAAAGCACAAGGCAGTTGCTTGAGTGGCCAACACCAACATTCGCTACCAGAAATGAGGTTTTCATTGACGAAAGTAGTCGGTCACGATAAGTTGGCTATACAAAGTGAAATGTGTCTCTCTTTCGCACTATCCCTCAAGAAGGTCAGACTCACAGGTTAGACGAGGCAGACTTCTCTTCCAAACAAACTACCGCATGTCTCCAAATGACAGTGGACACGGGCTGTTGTCTAGGGGTCAGAATCACAGGTTAGACCAGGCAGACTTCTCCCCAACAAACTACCACACATGTCCAAATGACAGTCGACGATGGTTATCTGCAGTTCCATGTTCATTCGCAATAACACACAAACGACAAGAATCAATGTTGCAACCTACGACACACGCCACCCAGGCATGTCCACTTGCTCGCACTTTTGGTATACGGCCACTCCATGGTCGACACTGACATACACACACTTGGCACAATCAACAGTCAGTAGGACACTTCCATTACCCTCAGCTATACTTTAACGTAGCGTTTGCTGCAACCACTTCACAGCTTTCACTCCTTGCCATTTAGGATTAACGTTCACTTCTTTTCACTCTGGATCTACTTTCGCTCCTATCTCTGTCGGTTCCTGTCACAGAATGCCTTTCCGGTCAACACTTCCCCTAGACCTCGTGTTTTTAAGTGAGCTCACACAATTTCGTGTTTTGCCATTCTCACGTCTACTTTATGTCTCTCAAGTTAAAGACTTCCACCCGTTCTGTCAACGAGTCAAACCATTTACATTATACCTATTTATAGCATCATTATACACACGTCAAATTATTACAAAATATTTTTCGCAAGCCCACACGTAAACCGACTAACGGCCAAATTAAACACAACTCAAACGCTGCACAAATAAAAGACGGTCCAACTTTTCAAAAAGCTCACAGTGTTGCATCAAGCTCTTAAATAAGCATCATAAATCGTAAACTTCCGTCTGTATGTGGAAACTGATTTAGCAAAGCGCTGTTGTTGTCAAAAGCAAAAATAACTTCGAAACTAAGCATTCCGCCGTGCCTAGTCCTCCATACTGGACCGGAAATATCCATCAAGACGATTAAAATAATTCGATAATTTTAAAAATTAAGCAAAATGGTCAGTGAAAAACCTTATAATATTATAAGTAGTACACAGGTGAAATCTAGAGGCGCCGTAAAGGGCACAGAGAAGAGATTTTATTAGAGACAAACAAATGGGATGATAAATAGAAATCTGCAGGAGTTAGCAAAAAAGCCGCAACGTTCTGGTGTAAGCTGACTGATCACGTTCAAGTCACAAACCAAGAAACTTTAGACAGTGTGATAACCAAGAGAAAATAGAATTGGTATGGCTATGTTATGAGAATGAATCCTGATATATCTGCCAAAACAGCTCTCAAATGGACACCAGAGGGAAAGAGAAAGAAGATGCGCCCAAAAACAACAGGGAGACGAACGATGGAAAGTGAACTAGGTGCTGTATCTCTTATATAGTAAACCGCACTGAAAACTGCGCAGGACAGGAAAGCGTGGACAGTCCTCTCTGAAGCCTTATGTGCCACTAGGCATAAAAAGAACTGACGAAGATGATGATGACAGATCACGTATGAGGAAATATCAAATAAGTCCAGAACATGAGCGTCTAGACACCTCAACAACACCACCCCCCCCCCCCCTCACACCTTTATCAGGCCTAGAGATTTGTAAAGGGGCCCTGCGGCGGCACTTCCTCCCCCTCCCGCTTGTGTTATTTGTCTCAGCACACCAGGATAAGAGATCGATAGATCGATCGATCGGTTTGTCATCTTTATCCTGCTAACTAATGATTGCCCATACGATCCTAAAAATTAAAAGAAAAACTTCAAGCTGGACGGCAGACCAACAAGGTAGATCCCAGATACCCTGTTCAACCACTATAGAATTTATCATGAGGACACCCTTAACGGCTACGTCAGCCAGGTTTATATGTAGTCCAGCGGTTCTCGTGCTATAGGTCGCGACCCTCTTGTGAGTTGAACCAGTCTTTCACATCGGTCGTCTAAGATAATCGGAAAACACATATTCACTGAAAGTATAAAGAAACAACGAAAAAAAAAAAAAAACAGTTATAGGTTGTATGTCAACAAATCACGAGGAACTGAATAATAGGGTAGCGGCATTACGAACGTTGAGAACCATTGCTGCAGTCTAATGCGTGCAGGGACGTTGATAAAATGGACACAAGGCGTACTAGATAAAGGGCGGTAACGAAACAAATCCTTTTACTATTGTCCAATAAAGCTACTTCCCTTAACTTTCCCTGCTGTAAAGGCTGGGGAAAAACTATTCATGTTTTTTTTTTTCCATCTTAACTCTTAGTGAACTCGTCCTATTGTGGGACGACATTTGTCGTTATTTGAAAGCCCCGACCCGGCTGTAAGTCGGGGGCCCTAATATAACCTAACGGTTGATCGGGATTTCTAGGAAGTGTGCCAGGGTGATCCTCATCCGAATCATGACACTTTGAGTCACTGGGTGTTGGTAGCTCGTGGTACGGTCCTAGTGGGGTTGAACAACATACATTCCTGCTTTCACTAGCAACATAATGCCGAGAAGTTTGCCGGTATTTCGGTTCCTGCATGTGTTGATGTTGTGTATATTGCCTGCCTGTGCAATCTTTCTTAATCACAGACTTCAGATTGGGAACCACAACTGCACGCTCTGTTATACAGATAGACGGTTTTTGAACGCTAATTAGATGAATCGCAGCATCCGTGGCTTAGGCGTTGCGAGTCTTAACTCGTAATCCAACGTACCGCGACCGAAACCCACTGCTGGCTGCGCGGATGATTTTTTAAATTTAGATCGCGTATGATGTGTCGCAGGTCGACCCGGCCTAAAATTGCTACCAGGATGGTGGTCATGGGAAAGTAAAGACGGCCGGTGTAATGCTGACCAGATTACCCATCCAGTGCCGATTGGTCTGTAAAAATATAGGACGCTATTTCCATATATCCGATGCGCCTAGGGCGTGAACAGGGATCTTTTCTTTACTTACTAGAAAACAACAAGCTACCCAGACTGGACCACACATTACTTCCTAACAGTTTTGTGGGACAGCAATATAGCTGTGTTAAAGGACTACACTGAAGCCGCAGTGGTGTAGCGGCTAGACACTCGCCTGCGGATCAGAAAGTCCTGGGTTAGGGTCCTGACCTTGAACGGGTATCTGGTAGAGTCCTAGGTATTAAAGGCAGCCGGCGTGATGCAACCACATTACCCACCAAGTGCAGATTGAGTCTATAAAATATAGGTTGAGCCCTATATGTCCCATTACGCATAAAGACGTGGAAAGGGGTCCTTTACTTTGCTTTATATGGTTGTACGGTTGAACAGGTTTTCTGAGATTTGTACCTGTGTGATTCTCATCTTTGAGTTAGTAATCATACAGACTGCGATCCAGGAACGCAAACATTAAAACAGATATTTTGAAAATACTCTGTTCAACCCCCCCCCCCCCCCATCCCCTCCCACCTTGCAGGCAGCTACCTAAAGGTTAGGCACCTCTGCGACTCAAGAGAAACATTCAGGAGGCAGTCAGACAGAACCAACTATCCCAGACACTTCTGCAACTCAAGAGAAACATTCCGGAGGCTAGACAGACAGCATCAACAATTAAAAAACCTTGTTTAAATCCTGAAAGAGTTATAATTATGGCATCTGTAAAGGCTACACGAAGTACTAGCCTGGTAAATCTTGTTATCCCACTCGACGCAGCAGTTATCCCACTCGACGCAGCAGTTATCCCACTCGACGCAGCAGTTATCCCACTCGACGCAGCAGTTATCCCACTCGACGCAGCTGTTATCCCACTCGACGCAGCTGTTATCCCACTCGACGCAGCTGTTATCCCACTCGACGCAGCTGTTATCCCACTCGACGCAGCTGTTATCCCACTCGACGCAGCAGTTATCCTTACAGTAAAACTTTTAGGACAAGCTATCAAAGTCTCTATCTTCATTCTTGTAACAGAAAATGAGACTGAGAACGTATACATATCCTGCTCCCGCTGCTTATGAGCTTTTTTGCGTGTGTGTGAGTGTGTGTCTGTGTGTATGTTGTTGTTGTTGTTTTTGTTGTTGTTGTTGGTGTTGTTGTTGTTAATATCAATCAAAAAAAAAAACGCAGATTACACATGAGCAAACACATGACTAGGGACATTGCTGACAGTGTGGGTGATCATGTTTCTCCATATCCTGCAATTTCAAAAACTATGCGCTAATTCGCGTGCTGATATATAAAAGATTTACATGCCATAATAGAAGGTTGCCAGGAATGTTCAGGTATTGGCTCCCGGGCCTTATTTTAACAACATGTGCAGTTCCACAGGGTGGCAGAATATTTTAGAGCGCCAACATTGGGAAGGCATCATATATAGCTAGACGTAATAAATGTATAATTCAAAATCATGTCAGATGAGCGATCTGGAATTTTGTTGGGAAGGCAACAGCGCTGCTGAAGTTTAGCTGAGAAAAGAGGGGCGTATAATAAATGACCACACAGGGGCAGCATAATCCTAAATCTAGGGATGATCATCTCCTTGTATCTCTTCTAAAAACTGATCGATGTTCGAAAGTCTAGATGTGAAATGTATTTTTTTCTTTTTCAAAAGCTATGCAACATTAACTAGACAGACAGGGACACATACAGTTAAATCTACGGTAGTATACCAGTTTCGCTTGAAAACATGGGATTTACAATCCCACTATCTCCAGAATCATCACGATTAAAATCTGTCTCAGTCAGATCTATGGTGTCTTCTTGAAAATCACCGTCAGATCTAGTCGCTTGTTCTTGTCTGGTTGTCTCAGCATTACGTACTTCTTGAAGAGTTTGTGTACCTTCCTCTTCAGAGGCAGCAACTATCTTGATGCTGGGACTGTGTTGCGTCTGCTGATTAATTCTTTTTGGGAGCCTCATTGTAGTGCTTGCTTGGTTCGAAGACGTAGTTGTGGTTGTAGTTGTGGTGGTGGTAGTTGTGGTGGTAGGGCTTTGGATACCTAGACCGCGCAGATAAAGGGACATAACTCGTTTGTTGCAGGTGTAGGAGACAAAGATAAACAGGCCTTGAAGCCCATTAAGCAGTATTCCAGCAATCCTGCAAAAAAAAAAAAAAAAAAAAAAAAAAAATAACATTGGATAATAAATTAACCTAGCATACATTCATTCAAAATACATGAAACTCACGTATTTTTTATTTAGTTATGTGGTAAGTAGTTTACAGTATTCAGTATAATTTCCAGTTTATCAGTAAAATTTGGAATTATTTAAAGTATAAATGTAAGTATTTCATTCATTATGGTAGTCATCCCCGTGTGGGATGCAACCGTTCGTTATTTTGAAGTTACTTCATTGCTACTTCCCATCCCTTTTAGGATGAAATTTTTTTTTTATTTGAAGCCCTACTCTGGCTCTTGCCAGGGGCCGCAATATAGCCTGGCCATAAATATGACCTAAAGGCTGAACGCGGTTTCTGGGACCTCTCCACGATTATCCTAACTCACATGGTGGCACATTGTGTCATCGGGTGTTTATCGCTGGTGTGATGTCCTGGTGGGGTAGAAAGTCAGTCAGTCAGTTTTTTTGAAGGCCCACCCAGGCTTTTGCCAGGGGCCCTAAACATAGCCAGGCCTGAAACATGGCCTAACATTTGAACGGGAATTCCGGGACCTCTCCACGGGTGATCCTTACCGCATGTTGGCATTTTGTGTCACTGGGTGTTTATCGCTTGTGTGATGTCCTGGTGGGGTACAACTTTTACCTTCCCAACCTGCGCCCACTAATAATTATACTCATCTTCTGGGTTGCTGGTTCCGAAGGCAGTGGTTGGTGGCTCTACAGAATTCACGGCTGACAAGGATTAGTTTCATTTTCGTGCCAGAACATGTGGGGGTACAAGGAAATGAGCAAGCTGGTACACTTGCAGGTAAGGCTACTGTGAAAGCCGGACAAGTTATGGACCAGGCTGATATACTGAATGCGCTAAGAGAGTTAAGACGTTTGCGTGAACCAGATGTGAACTGTGAATCTGCAACCATGGTCAGACTGCAAGAACAACATGATAAACGAGGTGTCGCCAAACAAGAACACTACTCGGGTAGCCTAAGAAGAATAATAAACCAACACAGAACTGGTATCGTTAGCCGCTACACGTTGCTGGATTTACTGAGGAGGGGATCCGAGCACTTATGGACTGAGTGGTTCGAAGTGCAATGAAGATAATCTGTCTATTAACTAACTAACAAATCTTCTTTCTTCTTTATTTACGCTTATCCTTCGTCATCCACCTTGTGGGATGCAATTTTTCGTTATTGTGAAGCCCCAACCTGGCTACTGCTAGGGGCCGTAATATAACCTAACGGTTGAACGCGGTTTCCGTGACCCCACCACGGGTGATCCACATCCGCATAGTGGAACTTTGTGTCACCGGGTGTTTATCCCTCTGTGTGATGTCCTGGTGTGGTAAAATTTACTAACTTACTTTTCTCTTCTTTGTATTTGTTTTTAGAAGATAATATAGTGTGGTTTAACCATCCCAATGAAGGACGCACTTTTTCGTTATTTTAAAGTCCCATCCTGGCTGTAGTCTGTGGGCCCTAACATAACCTAACGGTTGAACGGGATGATTGGAACTTTTGCCCGGGTGTGTTTCTCAATCGAATAATGGCACTTTGTGTCACCGTGTGTTTATCGCCTGACGTGCGACCTCGTTGATTCGAATTAAGACGAAACAGTGGAAGGTTCATGTTAAAAATGCTTGCTAACCAGGAACTATATTTAAAACACTCTTGCTGGGGTCAAAATTTAACCGGTTTTTTTCAGACACAAGTGTGTGTTAACGAGGTTTTACTGTACCTATTACTCTTCATAAGTATCAATTGGTTTTGTTATCAAAAGTTTAGGAGATTTGCTAGAGGAGTAAAGGTGGTTAGACAGAAAACTCATCGTAACTACTTAAACCAATAATTGAATCAACAAACATGTCAATCAATTAATAGTGCAGTCAATCAATCAACGAACTAGCCAGTACAAGCTATCAACTAAATCAACTAGTAAATGACTCACTGAACCAACTGAACCATGTACCAATTATTAAATTAATCAATAATATAAGGAAGCAATAAAATAGTTTTTCAAACCAACCAGCAAATAAGCCAACAGACAAACGATACTGAATTGTACCCATAGCGGTGCAGTTTTCCTCCCCCCCCCCCCCCACCCACCCTTTTTTTTTCCACACCCGCAGTCTAAACAGGAAAAAGGGCTCGCTAAACAATAAATAAAATGATACCAAGTGTTCTAAGAACTTGCATTGACGTCAAAATTGTAGCAATGAAATGATCGATCTTCAGGAAAAACCCGAACTACCTTAAAGCATCGAGGTCGAGAACTTCGCCTGTTACAGACAGCACCCAGAATGCCCCGGTCATTGTTGAGAGCTTGATGTAGACGTACAGATGCTGCAGGTCCATCTTCTTGAAAGATTCGTGCTTTTGAAGTTTGCGCACCCGATGGATGTGCACCACCGTGATCAGGAAGAAGACAATGTTCATCAAAGACACAGACAAAATGGGCAGCACCATGGCTGTTCCTGTAAAATATACAAAATCATGTATAACACACATATACACGCACAGATCCTTTCAGTTTTTTTTCTCCTGCTGGCTGGTTGTTCACTGTTTGTCAATCACAAGCGATAAGGACCACTCTTTCAACCGTCATTATACTACAGTTTGTTGTTTGTGAGTCTGTAGGTAACTTATAACCCCATATCGGACCAGCGATCATCCGAGACAACGAGGACGGGTAACAGTGTCCGTAGGAAAAAAGGCCTGTTATGCAGGTCTTTCTAGTCTGTCTTTACTGTTCAGTTTTTTTCTAAATGCCTCGACAGTTACTGTTCCTCCACGGATATATTTTCGCCATAGAGCTCAGTCCTGTGCAGCAGCTCAATAGTTTAAATAATGCGGACACAAACAATACATTGCACAATTTATTGCCAGACATATTTCGCTGTATCACATCAGGTGCGTTACTACAGAGTTACATCAACAAAAATAAAGCACAAAACTGAATTTATTTAACTGAAATGCGAACTTCAAATGTACGAACCCCCCCCCCCCCCCCCCCCCCTTTTTTCCCCCTTTGTAAGCAGACAGAATTTATCGTAAATTTGACCCCATCCTTTGTAAGCAGACGGAATTTATCGTAAATTTGAAGTTACCCTGGTAAGGCACACGACTACGGTGAGCTTCCTTCCAGTGGCCATGCAACAGACGCACTGTTTTGGAAGAAACTATTCGCATTTCAGTTGAATTTATTCAGTTTTAAACTTTATTTTATGTTGATGTAACTCTGTAGTAACGCACCTGATGAGATACAGCGAAATATGCCTGGCAATAAATTGTGCAATGTATTGTTTGTATCCGCATTATTTAAATTCATTACGGGAAAACATTGTTTTGAATATCTTAAGCTTGATAAGTGTCAGGGGTAATACTAAATGATGCATAAGTGACTAAGTGATGCCTTTAAGATGTCTTTGAAGTGATTTTCTTCTTCTGGCCACCATGAGAGCCTCTACCTGAAGGGCTGGTATCCAAGGGTTTGATCTTCATGAGATTAATAAGTCTCAGTCAGGGTGGCAAGCAAACAGGGCTAATCTCAAATATTCTGTTTAACCTCCAAAGGCGTTACAATTATATAACTCAAATGCTACACAAAGCTAGTCAAGCATAAGGTCCTGAAGGACATTTTAAATAACTGATCTGATATGCCAGGCCAACCGAAACTACCCTGGATACCAAGATATACCTTTACATTGGGAAGTAAAGACGACCATCGTTGTGTGGCTACATCAAACGTCAAGTGTTTACAGGTTTATCTAACATAGGGTATACGACCTTATGCCACCTGCACCAGTAGTGTGAGAATAGCCGTTTACTTTTGATGTTTATGTGGAAGTAAGGATATAACTAGAAATACAAACTACTGTATATTCAAATGTTTTGAGTATCAAGGATATATTTAGGTACATACCTACAAGAATGTTTGAGTTCAAATAGCATACACTGCCTCCATACCCCAGGACTACGAGCATCAGACGTTGTATGCATGGTAACCACAACAACAACCACGACCACCGCTGGAAGCAGCAAGGAACAGGCCAGGTTTTTGCCCAGAAGGATGTTCCTGGAGCTGGTCGTGGAGTAAGAGCTGCGGGTCTTGGACGTGAACACTCGGAACATGTGGAAGCAGCATAGGAAGCTCCAGCACGTGACTGACAGCCAGAGGAAGTGTGTGGCCACGCCCACAGCCACGCAGACAACTCCAAGGTCCGGCGACCTGCAAACAATTTCCCCTTATTTCATAAAATAGAAGTACCTATGTTTGCAGCAGCTGAATAGTACTAAAATTGTTTGTACACAGTAAATGACTATACAGTGGTACCTCGGTATTCGAACGCCTCAAAACTGGAGCGATTCGGAATCCGAAATAAATTTTGAAGTGAATTTTACCTCAGACACGATCACGGTTTTGGAAAAGGAATGTTTACATGTACCAATCACGCGACTGAGCTGGCAACCCATCTTCACCAGCAGCAAAAGGAAGAAATTACAGAAGAAGCTTATTCGAAGGAGGGAGTGATGGAATGATTAGCACTTCTGAAACCCAAGTTTTTGTTCACCATGTGGTCCAGACGCAAGCAGTTATTGAGATGCAGCACTCTGTTGGAGCCCGAGGTCAAAGGTTTGTTAACCAGTTCAATGATAACCTTGTGGAACATTTATGAAAAAAATTCAAATGGTGGTCGCCTACAACAGAGCACTTTGGAACGCTGGCTGTCAAGACAAACTAGTGAACCCAAACATTCTACCAGTGGTGAATGACTACGATATGAAAACGATAGGAAAGGGTGTTAATTATCTCCCCAAATTCCTTTGTTTGTGTTCAATACGATCGAAATCTGTTACAATGTTTACGGTGTGCTGTATTCAGGTAAATACATTTTACAATTGGAATTTGCCGGACCTTAGAAGAGAATAATTTCGTTTCTACAATTTTCAATCTGAAGAGTTTCCTTGGAACTTGAACGATCTGGAATTCGAACGCCGCTGGTAACGGATTATGTTCGAATTCTTAAGAACCACAGTATTTATGTCAGACAAAAACTCATATGAATTGCACAGTGATCTTCTTCCTCTTTTTTTTTCTTTGTGTTCGCCGGTTGTAAACTCCGGTGGAAAATTCTGGTTGATCGTCCGCGTCTGGACCGTAGTCCTGTTCCATAACCTGAGTGTTGTGTGTGCATCCGTTTGACATATCTGACTAATTTGTATGCAGACTGTTTTTTCCTGGCTTCTCAAGCAGATGCACTGCGACTTCGAAGAAGCTCCTAATTAGTCAACTCTTACGACATGCCTCTGGATAGGCAGTGGGTTTATTCTTGCTTTCCCTATAATAGGGCCCCGGAACCCACACGGGGAGGACACTGGTCTAAAAAAAATATTTGCTTTAATTGCGCTGGCTAACGATTAGGAACAGCACATATCGATACTATCTAAGTTTCTGTTTAATGTGTGTTTAGCTTTGATGTAGTGTGCTCTTGACACTAACAATTTCTTCAATCATGGACACATCGGTCAGTTGTCATATGGTTAACAACTGAGCATCTGACCCCGTCATAGTATAAAGTGTCATTGACTGAAACTGATTTACGTTATAAATTTTCTTTTTATTTACTGAAATTTGTTCAGCGGTTCATATTGTCTATTTTTTTTTTAGTATAGATTTATTCGCTGTGTTAACTCAGAAACCATTCAGTTGCCTTTACCGAATAAATAATAAATACTGAAAAAAGAATCGACATCACAACACTTAGGACAGTTCCATAAGCGCTACGTCCCCGTTCTCAGCAGCAGAGCACAGAGTTCCATCTTTCTAGGGCACTAGAAACAATTTGATTGTATGTCCGTCTCGCCTTTCCTGGAGTTTTGAGCGTCGACCATGATCACATCTTTCAGCACCTTTCTCCGCAGACCGTGGTGATTTTGTTGTTGTTGTGTGCCTCTGTTCTGTTCACTGGCTTCCAAAGTACACTTACAACATTTAGCACGCCATGCATCAATTCACCAGCTTGTCTATCTCCCTGTTCATTTCCCTAAACACAGGCATATGTGGAGAGAATGTACAAAGGACGCTGACAACCCTGGACCGCTGAAGCGATGTTTGCCACTCGGTACCAAATAAAAAGCAGTGAATATGTATGCAACCGTTGTTACATGTATCCCTCTGGCTAACTGGCTGCGGATCCATCGTGATCTAGCAGCTAGACGTTCGCATGCATGTCCAAAGATTGTGAGTTCAAATCCAAACGGTGCTAGACTTTTTTCAGAAAAAAAAAAAGATCTTTGTTTCCCATGTTGACCTAGCTTTTAGCGGGTACCAGCTAACTGTCATGGGAAGTGAAGGCGACCGGTGTGATGCTGAACACATCTCTCTCTCTCTATCTCTCTATCTATCTCCCTTTATCTCTCCCTCTCTCTCCCTATCTCCCTATCTCTCTCTATCTCCCTCTATCTCTCTATCTCTCTATATATCTCTCTCTATCTCTCTCTGTATCTCTCTCTATCTCTCTATATCTCTTTCTCTCTATCTCTCTCTATATATAAAAATCTCTCTCTATCTCTATATATCTCTATCTCTCTCTATCTCTCTATCTCTCTATAAATCTCTATATATATATATCTCTCTATCTCTATCTATATCTCTCTCTATCTCTCTATCTCTCTATAAATCTCTATATACATCTCTCTATCTCTCTCTATCTCTCTCTCTCTAAGTGACGACTGGTCTATAAATATAGGTCTAGCCCTATATGCCTAATTAGCACATAAGCGTGGAAAAGGGTTCCTTACTTTACTAACTGGTTTGGTCATTACACATTGTTTTGTCCATAGTCACCTGGATCTTTGAGACGGCTGTGGTTGTATGCACGCTTTTTGTTTTTTTATAGCACAGATGACAGAAGGATACATTGCTTTGTCTCAGCTACAGAAATTGTTACATTATGTTATATTAAACAACAAAACATCACTTACATATGGGAGCTTGCAAGAATCATCGCCTGGGCCAGCATTAGAGTTGTGCAGAGACACATATTATTCCTTCCCGCCACACTACGCAGGGCGGGAAACATGGCGTAGGTCACCAGAGCCAGCAGAAGACATACCATGGAGAGAGCCAAACACACAACGGACAGAATGTACTGAACGAAGAACCTATCACTGGCTGGATCAGAAACAAACTCTGGTCTAAAGCTCTCAAACAGCTCCAGACAAATATGCAGCGTCCCATTGATGCCTTTGGATATCTTGTTGAGATCCGATGTGTTAGTAAAAATAGCATTAATACCACCGAAGTTAACATTCACCTGTATACTTGGTACAACATCTCCCTCTACTTGTTCCACGATATACGTGGAAGGTTGAAGCACTAAATAACTACACGTTAATAGTTCAGAGTAGTTAAGGAAATAGTCATGGCCCTCAAAGGGATTGTTATTATAATCGTCGTATATATTTACCAAACAGAAATTGTCTTCATTTTTGTTACTGTTAACTTGATAGCGTTCCTGATGCCTCTTTCTGACATGCGCACAGTATACTTCCGGACTATGATCAGTCCACATGACAACAGGCTGAAAACTTTCATTTACGCTATCATCGAACTCTACTTCCAAGATTTCGTAAAGAAATGCCTGCCTCAGCATTTCCTCAAACTCGTCTCTGCCTATCGCATCGGAAGCTACAACATCTCCAGTGACCAAATAACCAAATGGAACCTGGAAGTCAAACTGTCTCAGGGGTTTATCTTCCTCATTGGTGGTTGTCATTGAGTTGAGAGTGGTTCTTTCTGACCCTTCCCACGTGTATGTCTCGTTAACTGTCAGCGAGACGTCCGTTGGCTGTGTGGGTATTCCAATGCAGGTCAGAGCGGATATGTTCACCACAGCCGTGATCGTGAGGATGGTTTTGTTTATTAATGGAGATAGTTTCGAGTACAGCTGTGGACAAAAAAGGAGACTGGTTATGGCTCCACAAACGATTTCTGTGTCCACGATTGCATTACTTTCTTTAACATTTTTAGTGCTGGTCTGATTCTATGGTGATCTTCTTGAATCTCGTTGATATCGGGATTTTGCGTCCCACTTACCCGGGCTTCTAGGTACGACTAATCTCAGATAGACAGCAGAACCTTTTCTAGAAAGTAAACAAGAACAGTGGACAATTGACCACTCTACCCTTAGAGTGCCTGTTAAGTGTGTCTGCATTTACCGACCACGAGTATAACTCATGACGGGATAGAGATCATTCGCCGTTATTTTTTTACTGACGCAAATCTACATCCAGACAAACGAGGCACAGGCCGACCACCACCAGAGTATGTAGAAGACATTTAAGATAGAATGGTTATGAAAGCGCATTGGGCTGGCGAATTACCTACAGGAAGACTTTCCGGAGTGCCGAGAAGACAGCAAACTTTCTTTAAAGGACTTGCTGACTGACTTTGAAATGAAAATCTGAAAAACAGGATTTCGATATATGTTATGTCTCGTATGGGTTCCATTATAGGGAAAGCAAGAAACGACTCAAAGAGCATGTCGTACGAGCCGACTAATTGCGGGACATCTTTCGAAGTCGGAATGCATCTGCCTCAGAGGCTAGGAACCACAGGTCTGCATACAGATAAGCCAAATCTGTGAAACGGATGAGCACACAACACTCAGGTTCTGGAGAAAGACTAAAGTCAAGAAGTGCCTGAACACCCAGAACCTCCCGCCGGAGTTCACAGCCGGAAAAAGAAGAAAAAATCTTTTATGGAAAGTTCTATCCAGTTCGGGAAAAGTGAATTATTTTATTATTTCAGTGGTGTTAATTATAAAAACGCTCACATTGTTACTTATTTATCATAGCACTCTGTGAGTTGAGTAAAACTGAACACAATTGTTCCTGTTTTGAGATGTATTGGGCATATAATGCTAGTACTCAAATCACTGTTTGTCCCTGGGAATCACCATTTACGAAACTCTCTCAAACAGGCAATTTCTCGTAAATTATACTTCAGCTCGACACTGCAAGGTACCAAAGAATCAAGATGAGATGAGATGAGATGCGATAAGATGAGATGAGATGAGATAAGATGAGATGGTACTTGATGGGTCATGTGGTCAGTATCACGCCTGCAGCCTTTACTTCCCAGGACGTCACCTGGTACCCATTTAAGACTGAGTCATCCTGGAAGCCAAGGTCGTTTTTTTTTAAAAATAAAGCCAAACTTCGTTTGGATTTGAACCCACAATCTTCAGATCGGAAGACGAAGCATCTAGCCGCTACACCACAAAGGCTCCCATAGCACTTTGTATACACCTATATACGTTTCGTCTCATTCAACAAATGGCAGAAGTTGTGTGTGCTGACTGTAAAGTGAAAATATGGAAGTGACTCCAGTCAAGCTAATTCCAAGCTTAACGAAACAGGGAAACAGAAAAACATGCACAATGTTCATTAGTTATTTGAGAAAGGCCACCGGCATAAATTTGTTTTGTGTTTTTTTGTGCAGATTTTTCTGCTTTCCCGTTTCATTTAACTTTTTAGTCACATTTCACTGGAATTCCTCGACTGTTACGTGACGCGCTCGTAAACACGTGGGAATCGTTTCATTCATGCTGTTCTTCATGCCGGATTCACTTGTAAATCCAAACTCAGGCATTCTTGCACAGCATATTTCCTTCGAAAATATGAACATTTTGACGTAGGAGTTCCAAATAATGGCCGACAATGTGATGCTTGTGGGAGTGGCGCCACTGGAAGTCTCCTAAATATGACGGCAATAGCGCGCGGCTGGTGCCCAATTGATGGCGAATTGTCCTTAAAAAAAGTGACTAAAAGTGTCACAACTAACCCTAACCTTAACCCTACCCCTAACCCTAACCACGCAAATTTATCGGTAATTAAGGCATACAGATCTGCAGGAGTCACACACACACACACACGCACACACACACACACACACACATATATATATATATATATATATATATATATATATATATATATATATATATATATATATATATATATATATATATATTATATTACTATTTAAAAAAAAAAACAACCCAGATTTCCCCAAGGCTTTAAATAAACACCCAGATCTAGGGGGAAACACCCAAGCATTGGCAGGCCTGATGTCGACCCCACTGTCTGTTTTGTTTCGTGAGTTTTCCGCTCCGTATTTGCAATGCAGCCAAGGGAGTGAACTCCCACTAAGCGACTGTCGGCTTTCCAGCTAACGATCGGTATTTAAAGGAGAGCCGAGTATGTCATTATAGAATGCAAAAGTATATAGAAAACAGTTTACTGGAAAAACTTGCACTAAGGAAATATGCTGTTCAAGGAAATATGCTTGAAGTGATCAGAACAATTCATTTTGTCTGTCGACGGAGATTTCACTTTGTATTCTTTTGTGTTTTAAGATTTGAGTACGTTATCAACTGCCTGCCTACAGGTAGTGGACTATTAGCTGTTTTCAACAGCAAATATAATTTTGACTGGACTGATTGACTGGCTGACTGACTGGCTAACGGATTGACTTACATTCTGCCTGCTGATTGACTGATTTACTAAATTACTGACTGACTGGCGCTGACTGATTCACTTACATACTCACTGGCATACTGGCTAATGGATTGACTTATTGACTAACATGCTAGCTGACTATTTGACTTATTTATTAATTTACTGACTGAATGACTGATAGACTGACTGACTGACTGATTGATTGAATAAGATACTGAGTGACTGACTGACTGATTGATTGAATAAGATACTGAATGAGTGACTGACTGACTGATTGATTGAAAAAGATACTGAATGAGTGACTGACTGACTGATTGATTGAAAAAGATACTGACTGATTGACTGACTGTACACTGATTGTATCATCTCGCAATGATAGGGGCCATTGTTCCCCTCCAGGATTGTCCGTCTGATTAACACATCATTGATGACAGTTCAACATGAGCAAATCCCAGAGACACAGTGTAACCGCACAATACAGTTATGTCCGTCTGATTAACACATCATTGATGACAGTTCAACATGAGCAAATCCCAGAGACACAGTGTAACCGCACAATACAGTTATGTCCGTCTGATTAACACATCATTGATGACAGTTCAACATGAGCAAATCCCAGAGACACAGTGTAACCGCACAATACAGTTATGTCCGTCTGATTAACACATCATTGATGACAGTTCAACATGAGCAAATCCCAGAGACACTGTGTAACCGCACAATACAGTTATGTCCGTCTGATTAACACATCATTGATGACAGTTCAACATGAGCAAATCCCAGAGACACTGTGTAACCGCACAATACAGTTATGTCCGTCTGATTAACACATCATTGATGACAGTTCAACATGAGCAAATCCCAGAGACACTGTGTAACCGCACAATACAGTTATGTCCGTCTGATTAACACATCATTGATGACAGTTCAACATGAGCAAATCCCAGAGACACTGTGTAACCGCACAATACAGTTATGTCCGTCTGATTAACACATCATTGATGACAATTCAACATGAGCAAATCCCAGAGACACTGTGTAACCGCACAATACAGTTATGTCCGTCTGATTAACACATCATTGATGACAATTCAACATGAGCAAATCCCAGAGACACAGTGTAACCGCACAATACAGTTATGTCCGTCTGATTAACACATCATTGATGACAATTCAACATGAGCAAATCCCAGAGACACTGTGTAACCGCACAATACAGTTATGTCCGTCTGATTAACACATCATTGATGACAATTCAACATGAGCAAATCCCAGAGACACTGTGTAACCGCACACTACAGTTATGTCCGTCTGATTAACACATCATTGATGACAATTCAACATGAGCAAATCCCAGAGACACTGTGTAACCGCACAATACAGTTATGTCCGTCTGATTACCACATCATTGATGACAATTCAACATGAGCAAATCCCAGAGACACAGTGTAACCGCACAATACAGTTATGTCCGTCTGATTAACACATCATTGATGACAATTCAACATGAGCACATCCCAGAGACACAGTGTAACCGCACAATACAGTTATGTCCGTCTGATTAACACATCATTGATGACAATTCAACATGAGCAAATCCCAGAGACACTGTGTAACCGCACAATACAGTTATGTCCGTCTGATTAACACATCATTGATGACAGTTCAACATGAGCACATCCCAGAGACACTGTGTAACCGCACAATACAGTTATGTCCGTCTGATTAACACATCATTGATGACAATTCAACATGAGCACATCCCAGAGACACAGTGTAACCGCACAATACAGTTATGTCCGTCTGATTAACACATCATTGATGACAATTCAACATGAGCACATCCCAGAGACACAGTGTAACCGCACAATACAGTTATGTCCGTCTGATTAACACATCATTGATGACAATTCAACATGAGCAAATCCCAGAGACACAGTGTAACCGCACAATACAGTTATGTCCGTCTGATTAACACATCATTGATGACAGTTCAACATGAGCAAATCCCAGAGACACAGTGTAACCGCACAATACAGTTATGTCCGTCTGATTAACACATCATTGATGACAATTCAACATGAGCAAATCCCAGAGACACAGTGTAACCACACAATACAGTTATGTCCGTATGGTTAACACATCATTGATGACAATTCAACATGAGCAAATCCCAGAGACACAGTGTAACCGCACAATACAGTTATGTCCGTCTGATTAACACATCATTGATGACAATTCAACATGAGCAAATCCCAGAGACACAGTGTAACCGCACAATACAGTTATGTCCGTCTGATTAACACATCATTGATGACAGTTCAACATGAGCAAATCCCAGAGACACTGTGTAACCGCACAATACAGTTATGTCCGTCTGATTAACACATCATTGATGACAATTCAACATGAGCAAATCCCAGAGACACAGTGTAACCGCACAATACAGTTATGTCCGTCTGATTAACACATCATTGATGACAATTCAACATGAGCAAATCTCAGAGACACTGTGTAACCGCACAATACAGTTATGTTAGGGCACGGCTTTGGTTAAATCGTGACATGCAGCAGAATATGAGGATCCGCAAGAGCTCACATTATATCACTCTAGCCAAGATACTTGAACAACACAATTTAAATGTCCTTTGTAAGATTCCTGGGGATCAAGCCATTTGCCTCGCCCTCTGAAGGTCGTTCAGTTGATGAGAGCAGTTTTATGGTGATCCACGAGGATCGTCGCCAGAGCGGCAGAGTACCCGGCTAGCTGTTCTGCTGACAGATGCTGAGCATTTTGGAATGAAACTTGGTGTAATGAAGTCCGTCCACTCAGTCTATCCATCTATCTTCTTTTACATCCCCCCTCCCTCACCCCATGACATCACACAAGTGATAAACACCTTATGACACAAAGTGCTACAATGTCGATGAGGATCACCGTGAAGACGTCCCAGAAACCGGGTTCAGCCATTTGACCATATTTATGACTGGGCTATTCTGCGGACCCTTGCAAGAACCAGTGTGGAGCTTCAAATAACAAAAAAAAAAAAAAAAAAATTGCACCCTACAAGGAAATGAGAAGTTTGCTAATATAACCCTGGCACAAGCCGGGGTAGGTTTCAAAATAACGAAAAACTGCTCCCCACATTGGGACATAGATTCGATCTTGGTATAGTAGATTTTTGCCCCACCAAGGACATCACACAAGCGATAAACACCCGATGACACAAAGTGCCACCACGTGGATGAGGATCACCCGTGGAGAGGTCCCAGAAACCGCGTTCAGCCACTAGACCATATTTATGGTCGGGATATATTGCGGCCCCTGGCAAGAGCCAGAGTAGGGCTTCAGATAACGAAAAATGGCATCTCACAAGTAGATAACCAGTTTAATTCATAAGGGTCCTCTTAGTCTAAGTATATCAATCTTTTACTCAAAACGCAGACGCCGTGCATACACACACGTATACACCACCACAACCATAACACCACACAAGATAAATCTGCGGCACACAGTTAATCTCAAAGGACATTTTGAAACGTTTAAGAAACGTCTACAATTAAAAACTCACCTTATTATAAAATATGTCTCCAATAACATCAACGGGTAATGTTGTGATTCTGTCCCTTGTTTCCTTCATTTCGTCTGTCCGATGCAAGAACCATAACCGAAGGTGATATCCAAGTCCGGTAATCTGCTTCAGTCCCGTCTCGCATGTTCTGTTAACGAGAATCTTGCCAGGGGAGCAGTACAAGGGGAAGCATTGTCCCTTCAAAAGACACAAAAACAGACGCCTAAATTTTTTTTTAAACTTTGCTTAATAATGGAGGAATCGCCGTGGTGTAGAGAGACAAACAGATAAATACCTGCAGCGCTTGGATGTGGGCGAGACCAGAATACTGACCTATCATGTGATTCTGGTTAATGTGTGAGATCGCGAAACAGGACAGCCTACAAGACATGACGTGAATGCCCTGACCATACCATACGTTTTATCTCTACCTTGACAGATGCGGTCACAACACTCATCGACTGCCGTCTGGTCTATATAATATCCCAGGTCTAGGACTACATGGTCGATACCCCAATGGTGTGTGCTATAAGTCTTTTACTTTCATTCATTGCACTGTTGTGCCCTTATATGCCACCTAGGTGTAGCTGTCTATTCTTTCATTCCTTCCTATTCTGTGCAATCAACTCAAAATCATCAATGGAATTTAGTCCAGCATGTTTGGACACTCTCATTAACGTTTGTTTTAGTGTTTCTTTTAGGCATCGTCGTCTCCGTAACTCCTTGATTTCCTAACTTAGTTCTCTAAATTATAAACTGCACTGAACTCACTAAAATATTTTTGTAATAATACATAACACCTTTAAAAAAAAAGTGAAAATTAGCTTACATCGGGGCTCAACCATTCTGTGTTTGAACATCTGTTTGAGAGTTCGTCGTTCTCCTGTCTTGGAGGCTCGTTGTGCACACCAAACAGAATAGAAAATGGCGCCTTTTGTCTGGAGCCGTTAACGTCCACCCAGGTATCACATTTACCATCGCCAGGGTCCTGATAAATATATTAAAGGTCTAGAGAGATATTAAAGCATTATTTCTGTAGGATAGTTGGGATAATAGGAAAATAAAGACCTAAAGGTGAAAGCTGTATTGTTTTGTCTCCCGTTTTGTTTCCGGTTCCCATTAAAGCAGAACCGGTGCCCTCTAACAAGCGTGTCGTAAAATGTTACAAATCATAGGTGTTTTTTTTAAGTCAGAGTGCGTCTGTCTGAGGGGCGGGGAACCAACAGTCTGCATACAAATAAGCCACATCTATAAAACGAAGGATCAAGCAAAAAACTTAAGTTCTCGCACAAAACCAAAATTCAGAAGTAAACGAATAACTAAAATTTCCGCTGGAGCTTGCAACCGGAAAGCACTTTAAAAAAGAGAAGAGACTTTATTGTGCCTAGATTCACCTCAAATGGCTAGAAGGGCTTAGTTCCTGCAGAAAGCTTTGCACAAAGCAACGAAACCGTAGCTTTGAATCTAGAAACCATGAGTTGTAAACCCTTTGGCTCACTGCTATGGACATCGTAACCCTACAGCCTTGATTCCATAATAAAAACCTTAAATATAGGTTGTTTGGCACTTTTCCGTCTTTCCAGACGATAGTGTTATATTGCGCTATGAGGGGACGTGGGACTCACAGTCAATGGCGATGGCGAGTGTGACTAGCAGGTCAAGAAAAGTCTTCCACATGGGACAATTGTTGTCAACTTTTGTGTTTAAATTACGGCCAGGAACGAAGTTCCTCCTCTCTATAGTTCACAGCCTGGTCTGTATTGTAGAGACAAAATGTTGCCCATGCATCATGATCCTTCCTCGACCTGCCTTGTTTACTCAAAAGGAAAGGTAACACCAGTAGGTTTGGAACAAAGCAGGCTGCAGAAGCTGCCGGATCAGAAGAGCAGTGCTCCATCTGTCTGCCTGTCAGAGCTACCCTCCTAGACCAGCTGCCAGCCCTGCAACAACACAAAGTTTTCAGGTTGCATTTCCTCTTCCTAGGATAAGGCTAGTATCGCCCCCCCCCCCCCCCAATGCGCTCCTCCGCCCGAAGCCGTTGGCACAATATTGAATGTCATGTTTATTATACGCCGCCCGACATTCGGCGTAACAGAAAACGGATGGCACCGGCTACAAAGACGTGACTAACCATACATCTGGGAAATGTGTGTGTTTTTTTTGCCTAACCCTGAGCTGGAACTTGATCACAAGGAGTTTGTCATCAGGTCGCCGCGCAGCTGGTTTAAATAACTTAGCTAGAGCGCCGTAGCTTCAGCAACGATTCTTGCAGATCTCCAAAGAAGAACTGAATTCGTGAGACCAGCACTGCTATAGAGAACTAGGTCGAGACTTTCATGACTGACCAACGTTTAATCTGCAGAAGCAGAAGAAGAAGCAGAAGCAGAAGGAAGAGAAGGAGGATGAGAATGAGAAGAAGGCCACGAACAAGAATGTGAGATTCATAAAGCAATACAAAACATAACTAGGCTTTAGTGAAATACTGTCTCAAGAGGATAAATAAATCGATAAACAAGAATTTAAAAAAAAATATATAATTTTGGAATTATTCTAAACATAGTTGATGTTTTTAATTACCCTATTGCATATAGCACAGAAGATATTTGTGTATAGTCGAAAGGTTCGATCTTTGCGTGGGTATCTAGACTCATCATAGACCCTGTAGATTAGGCCTGTCAATGAGTGGCAGCCCTCCTCCACGTCCTGGTCGTACTCCGGCCACAGCCCCGTCACGTTGCAGGCAGCTACTGGCTCGTCACTAGAGACAGAGAATATATAAATAAATATATTTGTATACATATGTACTTCCCAAAAGGAAAGAAACACATAGCCACTGAAGGGAACGATATAATAATTATGATGTGTTTTATGCGCATTGAAAAGTCGTTGATATTTTTGATGACCTAGACTTTCAAGTTGACCTAGCCTTCAAATGGGCACCAGGTGTCATGGAGGCGTGGAAAAGGGTCCTTTACTTTAGTGTGTACCACTCAGACGCACGTCAGCAGGTGTGACTTAGGCGTTGCGAACGAGCTTCATAATGCAGGGGTGCCGGCTCGATCTTATCTGCGGACGGTTTGTTCTGTGTTGGTTTCGACAGTGGTACCAAGAGCTGTCAGTTCAGTAAGCAATGACAAACTTCTTCTTCTTCTTCACTTCCTCTTTTACGGCTGTGGGTGTCGAGGGAGATATAAGGTTCTGTTTCTAGCTCGTCTGGCCGCCTCGACCATAGGCACGTCGTGCTATTGTAGAGTTTCTCTGATATTATCCTTCCATATGGTTCTTGGTCTACCTCTTGCTCTACGTCTTTCTTCCCTTTCCATGTATGCTTTGTATGGTATGGCGTCACAAGGCATTCTAAGTGGGAAAACCATTTCACTTGCTGTCTTTGTATGTAATTTACAATTGGTTCTGTGCCGATTTTTTCTCTTATGATCTCATTCCTGATCCTATCTCTTATGGTCACTCCTACAGCCCTTCTCAGACATCTCATTTCCATGGTTACTAATTGTCTTTTATGGTTTGCTGTGAGTGACCATGTCTGGCACTGGTAGCACAGAGTTGGAATAAATATGCTTTGAATAAGATGTCTCTTTGTTCTGATTGGGATTGTCTTATGCTGTAAGAGGGGAGCTAGCTGTCCCAAAACTTGATTTGCTTTACTGCATCTAATGTTAATGACAAACTACTGAACGTAAAATTTGCATACAGAAACCACAAGAGCCAAAAAAATATGCTTGCGTGGTTTTGCAACGTACTGTGAATGCTACGCAACTTATTTTTTTTACCACTTAGCACAAAAGAAAAACAGGTTTTCGAGAACAGAGTCTTACGACGAACCTTTGAACCCATCAAAGATGCAAACAACGGTGAATGGAGAGTGAAAAGCAACACCGAATTTCATAAACTGTTTAAATCAACACTGATCACTGGCATCATGAGAGCTAATAGACTCAAATGGTTGAGGCATATTAAAAGAATGTCAGATGACAGAGAAGTTAAAACTGTATACACGAGGGAGATGAATGGTCGTAGACCACAAGGCAGACCAAGAAGACGATAGAAAGATAATATCCAGACAGACCTGCAAACACTTGGTGTCACCAAGTGGAAAGAGAAGGCCAGCCAGAGAGATGAATGGAATGGGTGATTTCTGCAGCAATGAACTTCAAGGGCTCGGAGTGCTGAAAAAAAAAAGCACAAAATAAAAGCAATAATAATGGTACGCACTTAAACAAGGCCTAAGCCCCTTGAGGCCTGCCTCTTGAAAATTAGAAGGGGGTTCAGAAGCCATAAGGATTTCTCAACGTAGTGTGTGTGTGTGCCTGTGTGCATGTGTGTGTGAGTGTTTGGTTTATGTGGATGAATGTGTGAATACTTGCAGTACCTGAACATGTCCGGGTCGCAGCTGGCCAGCTTCACGTTTGGAGGAGGATACTGTCGTATGCTGCAGGAGGAATCACTGCGGCTGGCCTGTCTGAAGAACTCCTCTTGGGTGGTGGCCGTGTAGACACGCATAAAGTGAAGACAGTCCACCGTGACCTCCCAAGGAAGCCACTGTCAACAGGAAAGTATTATGACTACTGATACTTCGTCAAGGTGAAAATGGAAAAAACAAAATCTTATTCTGACAGCAGGTTTTACAATGAAGCTGGCCGAAATGTAGATAAAGTAGAAGATAAAAGTAGACAATGTAGAAGAGTTTAAGTGCTACACAAAACCTATGTTGGTATATGCATTTGAGATAATAGGCAGACAAGATGAGAAACAATTGAAGTGATAAATAAAACCTGTGATTGTATGTGCGAGTGAGACAGACGCAATAAGCACGTATACTAAACAACACTTACTGGCAACGAAGATGTGGTTTCCGAGAAGGATGCAAAGATTTCTGAAAAGAATGCAAATATTGCTAAGAAGAGAGCATACATTTCTAATAAAAAAAAAGAAAGATTGCTGAGAAGAATGCAAAGATTTCTGAGAAGAAAGCATACATTTCTAAGAAGAATAGAAACATTGCTGAGAAGAATGCAAAGATTTCTGAGAAGAGAGCCCACATTTCTGAGAAGAATGCAAAGAGTATTGCAAGGATAGAAAAAGAAACGAGGCAGTGTTCGTTGAGACAAATTAAAGTCGTAAACTGATTTCTGGTTTGGTTCAAGATGGCGGAACGGGTTTTTCCCTCTAGCTTGGCTTAAGACTGTTGAGCGACGACCCGTATTAAAACATCCTTTGTTTTAGAATCAGATTTCTAGCTCTAATGCCCGACCTAAACAGGAGGCAACAAAGGGCCAGACATGGAGAGCTATGATTTCTGCCCTTTGCACTGCCCGATGCTCAAGAGGAAATACTAACTAAACTAAATTGATTGAGAGAAACATTGACGTACACAGTCCGTGTTTTAGGACATGTTTTTAGAAGGAATATTATTGTATCAATTGTTTTACTCGTCATTGACAATGGTTGGGCTCTCTGACAGCAAAACCCAGCTAGAAAGACTATGCCGAGTACAAATAAGGCAGTGAGACTTATACTCGGCTGCTTCAAAAGTCACCTCCTACAACGCCATGCGATATATCCTGCGTTTGCATATGATGGCTAACAGACACAAAGTCGCACAGGTCAAGGCGTGCATAAGAATATCGGCAGTTATTAACCAATCACACGACACAAAAGGAATGCGCCTCCAAAGAGGACGCTCCTGGATGGCCAGGGCTTGCGATTTGACCCAACAGGTATGTGACCTAGACGAGAACAGTCACGGGAATGAATGGACAAATACACTAAAAGACACGCACGGCATCTCTATGTTTGTCATCACATTCGTGAGGTACCGCAGGGATCAGATTCGTGTGGCCGAAGACACAGAGATGAGAGCACTGATAGATCAGCATTCACAGCCTGAAGATATCGTCAACTACACAGATGGATCTGTGGGGAGCGGATCTAGGTCAGCATGGACACACACGGCGCAAAGACTGGGGGAAAAAAAACAATACAAGAGGACAGCTGTGTTTACTAGGCAATAACGTCAAGAATGACTATGTAGATAGCCGCTGCTTCTAGAGTACTAGCATGGGAATCCGAGCAAACAGCACACTGGCAGTGATTGTATTAGATTTCATGAACATGCCTCGTAAGATAGCGAGTGGCGGTAAGCCCTATAAATAGGTAGAAAGCATTGTCTAACGTCCTTTTCAAGATGAAATCTTTTATTTGAAGCTCCACCCTGGCTTTTGCCGGGGGCCGCAATATAGACAGGCCATAAATGTGGCCAATTGTCTGAACACGGTTTCTGGGACCTCTCCACGGCGATCTTCATCCGCATGGTGGCACTTTGTGTCATCGGGTGTTTGTAGCTTGTGTGATGTCCTGGTGGGGTAGAAAGTCAGTCAGTCAGTCGAAAATCGCACTTAACCTCCCTCACCTGGATCTACACACCGGGTCCTGCAGGCGTAAAGGGTAATAAACGAGCGGACCAGCTGACAAGCAATGCACAGTGCATGTAGGAAGAAGCATGGACACAGCAGATATCGTCAACGCTGTACGGTCTGGGCTAGTGGATTATGACAGTAATACGATTTCGTGCCATGGGAGTACAGCATGGTGAAGTACGTCTAGGCCCCCTTCGAGGCCGAGATGGGAGACATTATAAACAACTTTTGATGGAAACAATTAGTAGAAGTACCTTGGAATGGCTGCTGCATCAAAGGACTGAGCACGCATGGAAATGCCCAATGTGCAGTGACGTCGTGAAAACATTAATTAACAGAGAAGGAATGTCATCGACCGTGATATGTGGAAAGGGAATTAGAATTAAAGAAGAAATCATTGCAGAAGGAATGAGAGCCGAGAAACTGAAAAAAAAAAAAACCCAGATCAAACACAAATGTTGACAACAGAGGTCCTGAAATCCCATGCTGTAATTGTGGAAGACTTTTCTTAGCCATGGATGGGGGAGGGGGGGGGGTGTTCGAGTCCCAAGCCTCCTCGTAGCGCAAGGTAACACTATCGTCTGGGAAACGGAAATGCAATTCAATTATAAGGAATAAACTCCAGAACTTGGTAACGGCTGAAATCATTCATGGGTTGGAGAGCAAAGTGAAGGCAAACAGATCAATACCTGGATGTTGTAGCCAGACAAATGGTGCGAGACAACAACAGTAGTAATAGTAGTAGTAGTAGCAGCGACAGCAGCAGCAGATGTGGTGGTGGTGGTAGTTGTAGTAGTTGTGCAAGTCGTGTTGGTGGTTGTTGTTAGTAGTAGTAATAGTTGTGTTTGTGGTGCTGGTAGTAGTAGTAGTATTTGTAGTGGGGTTGCGGTGGTGGTATAGTTATTGTTCTTGTTTTTGTTGTTGTAGAAGTAGAAGCAAAATATGCAGACGTAGCAGCATTAAACCGTGAGAAAGAAACGTAGTGTAAACTGAAAACGCTAATTTATAATAATATAATGCTGATGAATAGAAAATTGTAATGATGCTTCTGCTAATACTGCAGCTGTTGATGTTGTTGACGATGATGATAATGATGCTGGTGGTGGCGGTGATCGTCGTAGTGATGATGGTGTGTTGGTAACAAGGGAAACGTTAGCACAATGAATATATCTTAGTTCTACCCACCTCATCTACGCCGTTACAGATGGCACAGAATTGGTTGTAATAGACAACACTAGTACTGTTATCCACAACTCGAGCAGTGGACTCCATGCTGACATTATCGTTTGCAATGTCTATTTCACAGAGTGATTTGACCTCATCGGAAACTTGGACATCCGGTGAACACGATCTCATGTACAGGAATTTTATGTCATACGAGCTGTTGTCACATTGCACCTTTAACTGTAACTTGTTTGCTTCGCGTCTTGAAAATCCGTATTCATGGAAGCTGTGAATATCTGTTTCTCTGCTGAAATCATCGTAAGCTTTTAGGTTTTTGGTAAAACTTCTTCTTAAAGAATCGGGATCAAATCTTTTTTGTGACGTTTCAATTGTTTTTAAATGTAAAGTATCATATGTGATAGAACGACGAAACATCCTCGGACTGTTTTGTTGAGAAGACAGCGTGGCCACATCAGGGCAACAAGTGTTGTAAACTTCACACCGAGGTTTCATGCAATCACACTTGAAGCAGCTTAAAACTTGGCAGTCTATTTGTGTATCATTACTGCCACCTGCTTGTTTATCTACACATGTGTGTTTACAGTAGATGTGTTGAAATGATGCAGGAGACATTGTAGTTTTGTTCCATTTAAATGTATCGAGTTGTAATTTTGATGCCCAGGAAGACGTGACAGCGCTGATATTGCCTGTATCAGAAAATCCGTCAACTGTTGGAGATATCAGTTCTTCCATAGTCTTGCCTTTGAACTTGACACTGACATCTTCATATCTTTGACCATCAGTGGATGTTTGCCATATTCCAGAAATAGTCGATTCATTACCCGCCATCGCCATCTTAGATTCCACGAATTTCGTCCCAATCGTTTGCATAAATAATGTACAGAACACCAGTTGGTCAATTGTTAGATTAATACAACCCTTTGCCATACTGACGTCACAGGAATAGCTAAACAGTTAAATTAAACACGTAAATGTTTATAAAAAACACCGTAGTTGATCGCAAGTTGTCAGTCCAGGAGAAATTTCCTTTCTCTTTTGAGGGTTAATGATGTGTAACTGACCCAAGATTAACTTTCTTTGCAGAATAATAAAATATCTTAAAGATTCAGCTATAATTTGCTATTTTACTTTACGTTTTTACTGAACAATCTGTGCTGCAAAAACAGGTAAGTATATTATTATTGCGGAAACATGACATACACACATCGAAACATATTTTGATAGCGAATCATTTATGTGCTTAACGTGAAAACATGGATTTTTATATTGTTAAATTATCCCATTAATTTTAAACTATTTTTGCTTAATCGTTAATTAAGATTTTATAGTCTAGGAAAGAATTACTCTTTGACTTCTTCTTATTCTGGGTTTGCCCTTGATAGGGCAGTTGACACGCTCTGCTGTGGTTTAAAGCCAGACTACGATATCTGCGCCTTCAGGCAAACACTTTCGATTTCAGCAAACTCTTAATTAGTGGCCTGCTACGACATGCTTGTAATGGAGGCAGTAGATCTATCCTCTCCCAATCCCCACTTCATTTCACCCCCCCCCCCCCCCCCCTCCCCTTCAACTCAACCTGTGGCCACATAATACATTCGGGGATCTCCTCAAATGATCACTCCAGCTGGTACAAAACAGGATCTCAGAATCCACAATCCGCAGCCTCTTGCAGTCCCCGATGTATCACTCCTCGTCAAATAGACCACATTTTATAAACCAAAATGTTTATCATTCTCCTTCTGTAAGTGTTCCAAGTTAAGGTCGGCCAACTGGTCCTTTGGTTTCTAATGAAACATACGAGGCTTGGACAGTAGAATGATTTATGATCTATGTGTGTGCTTGTGTAGTGTTTGCTTGTGTGTGTTTGTGTAGTGTTCGTGTGCGTGTTTGTGCGTATGTGTGTGTTTGCATGTGTCTGTGTGTGTTTGTTGTGTGTTTGTGTGTGTAAATGTGTGCGTGTTTGTATGTGTGTGTGTTTATGTGTGTGTGTTTGTCTGTTTGTGTGCGTGCGTATGTGTGCGTATATTTATGTGCGTATATGTGTGTGTGTGTGTGTGTGTGAAAATTTCCGAAACACTGGAGGAAAGTTTGATTTTGTTCAGTTTCATTATCTGTACCGATCTGATTATCGTTATGTCAAATCGTGGATTATTTTCTTTAATTGATAAACAAATTACTTACACTGCACAATAACATGTATGAATAATTCATCATTTTCCACTGTTCTCTCCAAATCCGAGTCGACGCCTGATCTCCTCGAAGCTCGTGTTATTTGATCCAATGTTTACGTCCAGGCTACCTGTTAAATCTGTGTATTATTTCTTTGATTACCTGCAGCACTTTGAAGTTTTATGTAAAATATATGCTTACCCCGACAGATTCTCATAGTTTGTCAACGAGTAAGACATAATCATTTCTACTTTTACGACTTTTGTTTGTGCGTGTTCATGTTTGTGTATGTGTTTGTTTTTGACGAGTAACTGTTTTATTATAACATGATGGGACTTCTACCATACTGATTATTATTGCCTATGAAATGACGTAGGAATGAATAACATTATGCAAGATGGGAGACTGCAAGGGTAGAATGTTAGACGAAGCTGCGTGGCCAGTTGTTAACCCTTTAAAGGTAGAGGGTCTTCGTTCCTTCGTTCTTGTGGTTCAAGTGTTACTATCATTCTAGAGAGAGAGAGAGAGAGAGAGAGAGAGAGAAGAGAGAGAGAGAGAGAGAGAGAGAAACACCTTCCTCTATTTGTGACTTCTCTAACTCTATAAAACATCTTGGGTAACCCTTTATAGAGAGAAGCATTTCCTTTGTATATCCCATGAATGTCGCTCATGCACCAGTGTTCGGAAGTATGTCACCTGATCAGTCCCATCACAAGCCGTGTAATCCCCAAATGATAATATACCTAACTGATGTCCGAAATAATGATAATGCATACAAACAAAACTGCCATGGAGAAGGAAATATATGTTAATGAGGAAAGATTGGAAGTGGTGGAAAATTTCGAATATCTTGGGTCACTGGTTACCAACAATGGTGACACAATGAAAGAAATTAAACGGCGACTATCAATTGCTCTTCAAAGACTAAAACAACTGAATAAATTATGGAATTGTACAGATAGAATTACAAAGGTCAGATTTTTAAGAGCATGCATCTTTCCCATTGCAACATACGCCTGTGAGACCTGGACACTTACTAAACAAGCGGAACAGCGCATAAATGCATTTGAATATAAATGTTTACAGACAGGTTCTAAGAATATCTTGGTAAAGAAAAGAACAAATGCATCCATACTTCAAGAGCTGAATATTGAAGAGGGTTGGCTAGTAAAGACAATAAAACAAAGAAAATTGAAATATTTTGGTCACTTGAAACGTCATGGAAGTCTAGAGAGAACAATAATGGAGGGGTATATGCCTGGGAAGAGAGGAAGAGGAAGGCCAAGGAGAAGATGGGTGCAGGATGTGGCAGATGATCTCCAGATGGGTGTATCAGACGCAGGACATCTTGCTCAGGATAGGAAGGTTTTCCGGAGGGTTGTTATGGCAGCGAGGTTCCGCGAGGGACATGCTACTGAATGAATGATGTCCGAAATATGTTCATACTTGTTCAGTTGAATTTGTTATTCAATAATTTCTCTGTAATTACTTACACTAGGAACGTGAATATTTGTATGAACTGCTTTTTTCTTTTTAAATCTGGACGTTATTGTTTTATAAATAAATATTATCTAAACTGCCTAGCTGTTTCGAAAACAACAAGGGAACGTTTTGTTTGTTTTTTGATCACTGCTATGATTTATTTAGGTAATAAAAGGTTAATTATCCTAACCCCAATTACATAACTCACGCCTCTACGGCTTGTGACGAAACTCTAAAACAATCCAGCACACTCACTTTATAGCCCCCTGCGACACATTCAGGGCAACAGTTGTGGTCTTTGTACACGAAACACGTGTTTTTGTGAAGAATCGATTGGTTACATCGAACTTTGTGCTGTATAACTCCTAAAAGGCAGTCCAGTAAGGATCATCGTATACTTATATCCCTTGAATTAGCAAAAATGGATTTTGATTACTTGTAAATAGGGCTGCCAAAATATAAAATAACGTTGAAAATGAAGTAAAATTTAATAATAATTTCGTCAATTTATATTCTAGTATAGCTAAGATTAATATTTTTTTTGTTCTAACTTTGGCAAGAATCTGTAAGTGGACTAGATTACCGTGTGTGTCTCGCTTTTTAGAGGTTGGGAAGTTGTTTTCAGACACTGTTGTTTGGTTCCAGAGTGTGGTGTTTTAGTTATCCGTGGAGTCGTTACTGGAACTTCAGAGTTCATGCTTAGTGCTAAGTTCTCGAAAGCACTACCAGCCAGGGAGAGAGAGCCCGAGAGAGAGAGAGAGAGAGGAAGTGTGTGTGTGTTTGAGAGAGAGAGGATGTGTGTGAATGAGAGAGAGAGAGGATGTGTGTGTGTGAGAGAGAGAGGATGTGTGAGAGAGAGAGGATGTGTGTGTGTGTGTGAGATTAAGTGTGTGTGTGTGTGAGAGAGAGAGATGATGTGTGTGTGTGAGAGAGAGAGGATGTGTGTGTGTGAGAGAGAGAGAGGATGTGTGTGTGAGAGAGAGAGAGGAAGTGTGTGTGTGAGAGAGAGACAAAGAGAGGATGTGTGTGTGTGAGAGAGAGAGGATATGTGTGAGAGAGAGAGGATGTGTGTGTGTGTGTGTGTGAGAGACAGACAGAAACGTAGTCTGTCAGATACAAATTATTACGATGAAACCAACCCTCTTGCTTTAACCATATTGATCTCCGCTGCCCATTCCTTACACGTAAAGTTATTATGCAAGTTCTCCTAAGCTCATATGGGACAGTTTAAACATGCACTGAAGAGAACTGACCGATGTTAGCTGGCTTGTCTCAGGAAAAGGGAACTCAACCTGTGAACTGATTGGCAGTGCCCTTGGTTGGCAGCAGCTGGTCTAGGAGAAATGCTCTGACAGGCGTACAGACAAGGCAGGCGTGCTCTGTTCCAACAGTTTCTGTAGCATGCTTTGTTCTAAATATAGTAGGGTTTAGAGTAAACAATCAGGCTGAGAGTGAGAGAGAGAGAGAGAAAGTGACACACACACACACACATACACACACAGAGATGGAGAAGACAGGAGAGAGAGATATGCTGCTTGGTCAACGCGTTGACTGTGTCTTCAATAGTGTCGAGGCTTTGTGATGTGGGAAGGAGGAACTTCTTCCCTGGCCATGATTGCTCTTGGACTCTGATGACTCCCTATAGCACATAATAATCCGATCATCTGGGATGATGACAAGATGACAACCAACAAACTTACTTTTTTTTTTTTTTCGTTTTTGTTTATAATTTTTTCAATTTTTACTATTCTGAACTGAAATAAACAGGAACAGTTGTATATTATTCGCCGTGGCGTAGCGGCTAGACGCTCGCGTGCGGATTGAAAGGTAGTAAGCTCGCTCCCGGGCGGAGCCCGACTTTTTTTCAAAAATGACCTTGACTCCCAGGTCAACCCAGCCTTGAGTGGGTACCAGGTGCAGTCCCGGGAAATAAAGGCAGCCGGCATGATGCTGACCACATTACCCATCTTGTGCCGATTGGTCTATAAAAATTTAGGTCTAGCCCTAAATGCCCTATATGCCTAAAGGCGGGGAAAAGAGACCTTTACTTTACTTTACTAGTTGTATATTTTGTGCATATGCCATTTTTACATATTAGTTAGGCAGTCTGGGCTCTTACAAGTGGGATTGTGTGTATTATAATTAGTGAGTTGATATTTAACAGTCAGCGCATCTTCGAATGTAAAGAACATTGTTGTATGTACAACAAGCATTGTCAAAAAAAAAAATCTTCCGTTTTGAACCGAACAATTTCGTAAAATCCAGACTGTGGCATA